CGCAAGAGACTTGCGCTCACAAGGCCGAGCCTCTACTCCAAGTGAATTTTGGGTCTGTAACGATGATTCACATCTCGAAAGAAAAGAACTTTTTTCCTGATTTCGCGGTTCTACTTATCACTTTCTTCCTGCTCCCACTGGAAATCCTGGCCCGTCATTTGGTAAAACATGACATTGAAGGGTTTGTAAAACTTGCGCAGTCTGTGGATGACGTCTGGGTCTATTTTGGGGTGAGTTCGACCCTTGGACTTGCCCAAGCACCGGGGAGCACTGCTGTCCTCTGGCTTCTTTAGACAGGGGAACCCCTTGGTTTTATTAAAATAAAAATGTTTCTCTGTCACAATCCTCTTGAGGCCTAAGAAGTCCTGGACCTTGGCCATTTCCCCAGCCGGGTCAGTGATGAGCCTCTCGCCACTGACGAAAAGGATCTGGGAGAGGGGGAAGTACTGGAGCCAGTTCTCCAAGTGCAGGGCGTAGATGCCGATGCGGATCGCGCTCCAGGAGGCATCGATCAGCCCCAGGGTCCGGTTCTTGAAGGCCAGCACCTCAAAGGTGGGGATGTCGGGCTTCTTGGAGAGTGTCTGCGTGTAGTCCGAGATGGCGCGGGTGACCGGGTTCCTCACCACCACGATCAGCTTCGTGTCCTTGGCCATGGAGTGAATGCGCCGGGGGGCCTCGTTGGTCACGAAGTAGCTGGGGGTCTTCTCCATGGTGATCTGGCCCTCCAGCGTCTTGGGCATCATGTTCCTGTGTGGAAGCAGAGGAGGGGGGGTTAGCGAGGGGCCGGCACGGGCGGGCACTGGGTGCTGGCGGGATGCTCGGGAGGGATGCTGCCACAGACGTGGGCCCTGGGGACCAAGGCCCTTCTGGCTTTGTTTCTTCTCGGCCCCTGGACACGGAGCAATAAATCTGCCCGGGTAACACACTCTACAGTCGACTCGCCATAGGCACCTGTAGACAAAAGTTAATTGACAATAAACCTGTACAATACCTGTCTGCTCAGCAAGCCGTCTGCTTCCATTTGCTCAATTAAGCCTATTCACTTCAGAGCCTTGTACCAGAGTGGTGCGGTTAGGATTACACAAGACCTTTTTGTTATGATGACATGCTTTTAAATGTCTCAGCTAATAAAACTTAATACAGAATAAGATCCCTTGCTTCTAGTACAATAATTAAATTTATTTACTATCTTGTGTGTGAGAAAGAATGACTTTTCTTTTATCTCTAATTCACATGCTCTGTCAATAATTAATTGCTGCTGGGTTTTGAGCTTCCTGTGCAAGCACTTTTATTAGCCAAAAGGAATTTGCCTACTGGATAAATTAGCATGTAGCAAGAGTTTCCTGGATAGCATATTACCATATTGTAAAACGAAACTGCAGTGAGATAGCATTTATATCTAAGAAAATTAAGAGGTAAGTGCTTGTCCCAGCTGCCCCCAGTTAAAGATTATCGTAGCCAGCCAGAAGGTTTGAAACGCTGTCCCCTGCAAGAGCACTACAGCCCCTTTCACACCTCCTCAGCCACCGCGTGCTGGGGAGGCCGGAGGGCAGCGCCACGAGCTGGGCTCCAACTGCTCCCACTCCCACACGCACCGTGGCTGTGGAGGTGGCCGTGGCCAGCCCTGCCACCGTGCCACCACCCCGCGGGGCTCCTCTCCGGCCTCGCTATGTCCTCTGCGACAGAGACGCCTGAGCGGGAAGCTGGCTAGGTGCTGGATGCGGGAGGACACCCAGCCTGGCCACCGGCAGGGGCTCAGCCCTCGGGGCGGCGG